TCAGTGCCATGTTGCATCCTCGTTATTCGGGGCCGCCCTCTAAAGGAAATATGATTGCCCCATCAGAATTGGTGATGAGGAGGAGGAGTGTCTGGCCTGGTTATGGTGTCTGAGTGAACATGGTAACATTACCATGGTGTGAGGAGAGCCCAATGGTGCCATAGGGGTGCCATGGTGAGGGATGAATGGGGGGAGGGAAGGATAGGAGGAGTGTAGGAACACTGAGAAGAATTCTGGGAATATGAGGTAAGGAGTACAAGTGAAGATACTCGCTCATACAGTCACTCTGGGTTTCATCTCACCACGACGGCTGGAATTCTTAAGAATATGCACTTAAACAGGAGATGCCCTCAAAGAAATCGGATGTCTTAAAACAGTGAGAAAATGACTATTCTCTCTGTTTCACATTACGTAAGAAACACGACGTTTGCTCTGAACAAGATTAAATCCCTCATTTTCACCTCTGATAAAACGTGCTCATTCTTCGATTGAAATAAATATATAATACAATAACTCAGCGTTAATTATTAACGTAATAGTTTATGAGTAAACTCATAATTCATTATGAGTTTATGAGTAAACTCATAATTCATATGATATGAATTAAGTTATTTTTGTTGTATTTTGAACCTCAAAATACACGAAAACACTCAATTTCTGAGTAATTTGTGTTATCAATTATCTTAAATAATTTCATTTATATTGGTTCTTTTCTCTAGTTATTTCCAGCATAAAAAAAATGTTGACTGAATTTCTCAGGCGAAAAATGTTTAGTAAATGTTTCGTAGAGTTCGTGTGTGTTCATTATAGCGCGAGTGTTTACGTTTGTATCGACGTACACACGAATGTTGAAGGGCAGACAGGCAGATATTATGGCAGAAAGGCAGCCTGATAGAGAGGCAGACAGTCAGGCTGGCAGGCTGCCAGTAGACAGACAGGAAAGCAGGCTGATATAAGCTGACAGACTTGCAGAGTTAAAGATATAAATAAGGAGGAATGTTGAATGTTGAATGTCTGGTGAATAGGCACACAGGAGGTAGGTAAACAGACAAATGGGGAATTCCGCAATGGGGGATGAGAAAGTAGGGAGATGGAGAAATAATAGGAAGATATTAAGGGAATGTGAGAATCCTCCAAAAATGGACAAAACAGTGATTGGGAGCTAAGGCTAACTCCACACCCCAGAAGTGATTCGAACCCAGAGAGCCAGGAGCACTATGCAACTGATGTACATGGTACACCTTAACCACTCGACCAACCGTGACGGTACAAAAGACGATGGCCGGGTAGCCTATTTTTCCCCACCGTCCCGACGGCACTTGGTGCAATCTTGGACATTATCGGCATCTATTGTAATATATATTTTGTATATAAAACTAGAGAGAAAAAGTTGTGCGACAGTTTTTCGAGAAAGAGAGAGAGAGAGAGAGAGAGAGAGAGAGAGAGAGAGAGAGAGAGAGAGAGAGAGAGAGAGAGAGAGAGAGAGAGAGAGAGAGAGAGAGAGAGAGAGAGAGAGAGAGAGATCAGTGTATATGGACCTCGCTCCTTTAAACTTGCCGAATTGACTTCTAGGTTATAGATGAGCGAGCGAGAAGCAGCAAGAGTGGCTCAGGTGTTCCCAAGACTCGTCCCCCAAAAAACTTTCAAAAAATCTTTTTCAATTCCGGACTATTTCCCATCTCCGTGAGCTCTGAGGGAGATAGTTTGATCAAGTGCGTGATATTTCTTCCTTAGTGGGAGGAAAGTATCTCCGAGGAAAGTATCTGTGAGGAAAGTATCTCCGAGGAAAGTATCTCCGAGGAAAGTATCTGTGAGGAAAGTATCTCCGAGGAAAGTATCTCCGAGGAAAGTATCTCAAGGATAGTATCTCCGAGGAAAGTATCTCCGAGGAAAGTATCTCTTGAGGTTATTTTGAGATTTTTGCTTTTGTGTTGGGTTAAGGCCTATCAACCACAGTAAGTTTATAATAGGGGTTATCTTGAGGTTATCTTGAGTTGATTTCGGGGCTTAGTGTCCCCGCGGCTCGGTCCTCGGGCAGGCCTCCACCCCCCCAGGAAGCAGCCCGTGATAGCTGACTAACTCCCTGGTACCTATTTACTCCAGCACCAGTCCCTTATGCTCGTCCCTTCAACTTTTATCCTTATGTGCGCAGGAGTCTACGATCCACAACCAAGGATCCCGGGTTCGAGTTGGGCACGGTGTCTTTCACCTCATGCCTCTGTTCTCCTGGGAAGGGAAGGGAAGGGAACTATCAGGGAACGTCAAGCCATTACGACTATATAGCACTGGGAAGGGGTCAGGATAAGGATTTGGGATGGGACGGAGGGAAAGGAATGGTGCCCAACTACTTGTGGACGGTCGGGGATTGAACGCCGACCTGCAGGATGGCTTCTGGGAAGCAAATAGGAATCTGGGAAGGATACCTATTTACTGAGAAAGGACTGAGGAAGCTCATCAGCCTAAGAGAGCCCTCAGTAAGCCTAACGGGCTTCTTGTTAGGACTATGGAAAACCAAATTGTGATTTATATATATATATATATATATATATATATATATATATATATATATATATATATATATATATATATATATATATATATATATTAGTATATTTTGGTAGCAGTCTTTCCTGTAGACATATATTATTAAATATGACCGAAAAAGTAAGATTAATAATTCTAACACGATTTTTCTCGATCTTATATATATATAATATATATATATATATATATATATATATATATATATATATATATATATATATATATATATATATATATATATACATATATACCTATACCTATTACAGTACTTTATAAATGACACAATTATTACTACAAAGACTGCTTCTAACTAATCATTTTTCAACAGTATTTTTGTAATTAAAGAATACTTATATATCAACAATTTTCAAGGCCTTGATAATATATTTTCGAACCCAGAAAAAATATGGTAAACATAACACATCTTTTTGGGTCGACATTTTTTCACTGCAAAAACCATGTTTTGTTTTTTTTTCTTCTGGGAGACAATACTTTCGGAACTATATTAAATATTCCATTAACAAGAAGCGTCGTTATTTTTTGTCTTTCATATTTTCCTGTGTGTTTATTTTTAGTTTTGAATTTTTAACTGCATAATGATGTACTTTATACTTTACTTTGTACTTTGAGGTACTTCCAGGTACTTTGAGGTACTTCCAGCTTTCCTGGAACATCACGGATCTGTCTATTTCTTGAGCGACAGGTATCTGTCTATCCCTTAAGCGCCCTACATCTGTCTATCCCTTAAGCGCCGTACATTTACCTCCCCCTAAGGGACCTGACATTACATTACACTCGAATACAGAGAGAATACGTCGGAATCGTCTCACCTGATCACCTAACCGTTAACCTCTCCCTCTCTATCCTCTCCCTCTCTATCCTCTCCTTATACCAAGCTGAGGCCGGATGGACTGGCTGATGGGCCGGCTAGCCGCAAGGGACCGACGCTTGGGGGTGGAAAATAGCATTGTGAACCTCTTGCTTATACCATTGGGATTCATGTATCCTTTATTCAACGGGACGCCTCCGTCGTGTGCTGGTCTCAAGGATTTTTCTTGTGTGAGCTTACTGAAGGGATTCCTAGTTACCATTTACGATCAAGGTTCTGCCAAGTTATGTACCTGGATGTTGGCGTATTTGGATAATTTTCAAGTGAAGACTAGTGTGCTATACACTAGTCTTCAGCCGGTCTGGGAAACTCACAGCCTGTCTGGAGTTATAATTATTATATAGCTGTTTCAGATGTTGTAAGCAACATTTCTCTAAATCACAACAGGGTGTATGAATTAGAATAATTGAAAGGGAACGGAATACAACACTGGAATTATTACTTTCTCAAATTTCTGTTGATTAGAATCGAAGGATCTCTGATGTTACAATGTCAAATGCATACTGTTTCATGAGTTTTTTTATTTATTTTAATAAACAGTTAATTTCGGGCATTGTTTGTGAATCCTAAGCTGCTAAATGTCTTAGAAAGTGCTTCAGTAAACACATATAAAGCTTTAATATGTACATAAAGCTTGAATGATCACCAAGCCAATATACAAACATAAACTCTTGACCCCGTGAAGGATTCGAACTCGGTCCACTAGGATTACCATCCAGTACTATAATCACTCAACCAGCGATTGTCTGAAAGTATTGGGAAGTCGAGAGACCCACGTACACCCAAACTCGACCGGGTTCGAATCCTTCGGAGGAGTTTACAGCTGAATAATGTCTCAATCTGTATTGCATATTCCATACCGGGTCTCCACGTTATCAAAAATATATATCTCTCTGGCCATGGTAGGCTATTATAGAAGATACCTTGTGCAGGGTAGACTGTTATAGGATATACCATGGTATATTGTCACAAGATATACCATGGTATATTGTCACAAGATATACCATGGTTGATTGTCACAAGATATACCATGGTAGACTGTCACAAGATATACCATGTGCATGGTAGACACAACATAACATAAAAATGGTTTTAATTTAGAAAAAAATATTCCTTTGAATTCATAAAAGGAACTGAGCAAGTGAAGAAGCCTAGAACAGTGTTGAACACGCACAGAGGAACGCGACTTGGAGTTAACTTGATAAAAAAGAACAAGGAGTTACGCTCAAAGAAAAATAAAGTTTTTGCTGAGAATAGTGTAAGAAATGAAGAAATTTCTCAGCTGGAATGATATTGTCTTAAATATTATTCACGTCGAGAGAGAGAGAGAGAGAGAGAGAGAGAGAGAGAGAGAGAGAGAGAGAGAGAGAGAGACGGAGAATCAGAACAGAGGAGAGAGAGAGAGAGAGAGAGAGAGAGACGGAGAATCAGAACAGAGGAGACAGAGATATCAATTAGACATCCTGAAACAGCTTCCAAGTTGCATATTTTCACCTATATGCAACAACAAACACAAACAAAAATTACGGAAAAGCATCTAAGCATCCCTTTCTATCCTTTCCAACAGGTACAGGACGGAACAGAAGTGGAAGAGGGCCAGGTAACAGCCCCCTCTTCCACCCTACTACCCGATACGACCACACCATTTCCTGCCACATCTCAATCCATTCCATCGACCACATCCCCGTCAGCGACCCAGACTCCCGCCGCATCTACAAGCCAGATCTCCACCACAGCCACAGCTTTAGCCACCACTAGTACGAGTACCACATTCCCCACCACCATCACGACCCCCACGCCCATCGGGCTGCCCATAGCCAAGGTGACATTAACGAGACAGAAGGCTAAGGTCTCCCACGCAGGTGTGTACACCTGTACAAATGCCTGTACATCACCTGTCAATCTCACTCTACATGTGCTGATAGGTAAGTAAATATTTCAACATGTTAATTTCAACACCGACGGAGTTAATGTCATTCCTATTGCTAACATAATATATATATATAAGGCTTGGTTAAAGTCTGATGTTATATATATAATATGCGAACAAGCCTGAATGGTCCCCAGGACTATATGCAACTGACACCAATATATATAATATATATATATATATATATAGGGTCTGGCTCTTATATAATATATATATAAGGTCTGGGTAAATCACAACCACAATTCCTGTCTGATGACAACCACAACTCGTGTCTATAATCTCTACATATGACAAATGTTTGCTAATTAATAATTAATCATCTATTCAGAATTTAATAAATATTTTGCAGAGGCTCGCGTTTTTTTTTTTTTTTTAAGAATCCGTGAATGTCTGTGGAATGAATTATGTGTCGTACATATGTATACGTATATGTATATGTATATGTATATGTATATGTATATGTATATGTATGTTCTTACATATTATATTTCTGCCTACTGTTGAAATTCCTTCAGCTCCTGAAGATATACATTAGGTCAAATTACCCGTTATCTTGAGGTTATCTTGAGATAATTTCGGGGCTTAGTTTCCCGCGGCCCGGTCCTCGATCAGACCTCCACCCCCAGGAAGCAGCCCGTGACAGCTAACTAACTCCCAGGTACCTATTTACTGCTAGGTAACAGGGGGCATCAGGGGTGACAGAAACATTTTGCCCATTTGTCTCCGCCTCCACCGGGGATCGAACCCACATATTATAATTTTTTGTACTGGTGTTGGACGCAAGAATTGTTGGAAGACGCGGCCAGTATGCCCAAACAAATAAGTTTTGCGCTGCATTTTTGTTGGAGTACCGGCGCTATTTTCCTCCTACAATGGTGGTCCCTGCGGTTGTCTAGGATAGTCTCCCCAGAACCTTTTCTTTCTTCCATTTTCTGTTCCTAGAATTACCGGTTCCAGCACTGAAAATGAAAATGTTTTATATATATATATATATATATATATATATATATATATATATATATATATATATATATATATATATATATATATATATATATATATATATATATATATATATATATATATATATATATATATATACCGAAAGGGTAACATTAATGAGTCTAACACGATTCTTCTCAATATTTCTTACGTTTTTCTTCACTGTTGAGGGTAATTGAAAAATTAACTCTCCAAAGTGCAACCTCCAGAGCAGTAGTTGCCATCCACCTCCACGTTATTGGCGCTTCAGGTGAGGCTGAAGTCAATTAAGTTGTTATATCTTTGTTTGTCAGCTAAACAAATTGCTTTACTTGCCACTTACTTACTTGAGGCTCACTGTAGTAGTCCGTGGAACACTTAAGGATCCACTTAAGTAACCTGGGTGTGTATTTTCTGGCTTATGGTAATGGTAATTAAATGGTTCAGGAATTCAGAATGATTTAACAAGATTGTCTTTAACGGTGATAACTATCGGGTCAACAACAAACATGGCCGCGTTTCTAAACCCGAAAATCGTTTAGTAAATAACGATGAAGTCACTCTGATCGAAAAAAAGATATACAGGTTTCGTAAGAAGACAGTTAAACACTTCAAAGACTCTTCACCTTCCTCTCAAGAGTACTAACTGTGATGCCATCACTAACTAATCTCACACTCATCAGCGCTAATCTCACTTAATCGCTAATCAATCAATCAACAATCGATAATCTCGCTTAATCTCAGGATGATGGACAGGTTTCTACTCGACACATTCAGGAGCTTAACACAGCCCGTCTAAAAAAAAAGACCCAAAGTCCATTCCATCCACCCGCCAAACCCCCAGCTGTTTATGAATGAAAAACGGTTTACACACGACTCACAACTGATTTCGTTCGAACACTTTCTGAACAAGTGCTTCACTGACGACTTTTGTTCGAACCACAACGCTGTAAATGCTTCACCCACGTACTACAAATAATCGCCAACAGAACCTAAACGCCTAACCTATGCCTATGCCTATATATGCACAATAAGCTAATATATAATAATAATTAATTTATATATGAGAAAAATCCAATTTTGAATGAATAACATGTTAAAATTGACGAAAACGTCTTTGGGGGTCGACCGCTGGATGGAATGGACTCGGTCTGAGGACGGGTTACTCAATAACGTAGAAACCACTTGTCCTCTCCAACAAAGTGTACCACACATGAAGTGTTTAGGTTCGTAGTGTGCACTTTCCCAGCGCTAAGTGTTATCACGTTAAGCATTGCTGTAGATCAAATATGTATACATATATGTGTATATACATATACACACACGCCAGAACACGACGCTCCGGTCATAACATTTGCATAACAGCACAATAACACTTCATTAACAACTCTGTTCTCTGCTGGCTCAGTGTTCACTAGTATATATAATTTGAAGGTAAGTGTCATGTAATTACATGAAGGCTCTGTCAGTATACCAGTATACCCAATATGACAGTATACCCAGTATGATAACACAGCAAGTATGATAACATAGCCAGTATGACAATATAACCAATCTGAATATATTTGTACATGTCTCAATGACCTAATTAACACATATATATCACTATTAATTCCTCAGCTACAATAATATATTATAATCACAAAATATGAGTTAATCCTTTCATCAAATCATTGTCATTTCAAATCATCGTAAATCAGAAGTAATCATTTGTATTGACAATTTATTAATTTTTGCTACGTAGTGGAAATGGTGCTTTGTCCTGATAGTTCCCTTCCTTCATCAACTGTATTAAGTTGTAATTACATTGTGAAGGTGGTTGGTCACTTTCAGGTTAGTTAACTGCCAATTTGCCTCACTCTATGCATGTCATGACAGTTTAAACGACCCATTGAATAGATCCAAGTTGATATTTTGTGCTATGAGTGAATTTTGGTTTTAATTTTTTTATGTAAACGAGAATCTCAAAGTGTTCTCAGCCCAACAATGTGCAACAGTGAACAGTGAATTAAGTTGACGCACTTGATTGAGTGGTTAAGTTGTGCTTAAATCGTTTTCTGATGGTAATAGTTTAAACCAATAGTCGTGTGTGGAAGTCAAACCTTCCTCTGATAGGCTGGTGGGAAGTCAGAAACCCCCTGATAGTCGCGAGAGGAAGTGAAAGTTTCCTCGAAACTTTCCTCTGATGGTGAAAGTTTCCTTCGATAGCCGTGTAGGAAATCAAGGCCTTTCCTCCCAATACAAACAACCCCCGAACTCCGATCAGCCTGGCGCCTCTCTACTGGCTTCCAAACCTTCCCGACTTCCAGCCCAGAAGCCGATATTCTAAGTTACATTTTGCGTGAAAGCAAGCGAAGCCGAACAAGCCGCAAGCACCCGCAAGCAACCTCAATGTTCCGGCTGGGTAAGTGTGTGGATTGCTTTCACTCTCGCTACGGGAATGATTGTTGGGGCATTCTGTTGGCGATGATGAGGTGGGAATGGGGTGATTTTGGGGAGTATGGGTTACTGGGGATCTGTGGTGGTGGTAGTGGTAGTGGTAGAGGTGATGGAAATAGTGGTAGAGGTGGTAGAAGAATTGATGGTGGTAGTGGTGATGGTGGTATTGGTGATGGTGGTAGTGGTGATGGTGGTAGTGGTGGTAGTGGGCAGAGGGGGGTTGAAAGTAGTGATGGTGGTAGCTATGTGAAGGCAGTGCAATGGTGGTTATTGCAGTAATTGGTGTGCAATGTGGTGCAAGACAGAGCAATACACCAGGAGTCGATAGATACACAGTATATACACACTAAGCTCAGAGATGTATATAGTGAATCACTCATACTGTATAGAGTATGCACAGTGCATTCCTCATATTGCATAGTAGATGTATAAGTGAACTCATACTCTACAAAATACTAAACTCTACACTTTTTAACCGGAGTTCGATTCTCATGCTGGCCGAGACGTTTTAGGCATGTTTTCTTTCACCTAATGCGGCTGTTCACCTAGTTAGAATGTTTTGGTACCCAGGAAGAAGGTTTTATTTGTCCTTATAATGTTAATCTATGGTAAGCCGTTGAAGCCGACAAACACACACACACACACACATACACACTATGGGGCCTCGTAGCCTGGTGGATAGCGCGCAGGATTCGTAATTCTGTGGCGCGGGTTCGATTCCCGCACGAGACAGAAACAAATGGGCAAAGTTTCTTTCACCCTGAATGCCCCTGTTACCTAGCAGTAAATAGGTACCTGGGAGTTAGTCAGCTGTCACGGGCTGCTTCCTGGTGTGTGTGTGTGTGTGTGTGTGTGTGGTGTGGAAAAAAAAAGTAGTTAGTAAACAGTTGATTGACAGTTGAGAGGCGGGCCGAAAGAGCAAAGCTCAACCCCCGCAAACACAACTAGTAAACACAACTAGTAAACACACACACCAACCAACACATCAAATGAATATTTTCATTCAATCATTTTGACACACCTTAAATATCTCACCAGTTGCGTTACTGTCTGAATAACTATAACACCATTGTTCCACCCATGACGAGGTATATCACCAGTGATCACTCAAATGGTACTTTTAATGTCGAGAACATGTACAACATCAATCAAGAGAGCATATCAAGTCCTTACAAAACTTCATAACAGAACCAGCAACAGTAGCTGCGATAATGTCTGATAGTTGTTTAGTGGAGTGATTACTGGACGCCAAACACCCCCACACACACACCAAAGAGCCAGAGGCGGGACCAAAGAGCCAGAGCTCAACCCCCCGCAAGGACAAGTGAGTACACAACAACGAGGACATGTGGTAGAGTGCTGAGTACAATCACAATCTCCACCTTAGAACATTGTCTTGCAAGAACCTAAAATTGCGATATCTGCTTCCCACCCTACTTCAATTCTTCCTTACTTCCTTCCGACCGATAAATCTGTTCCGACCAGGTTCCCAGAGACCTCCAAGATCCTTTGCTAGCTCTCCAGAACATCTACAATAACCCTTGCTAGCTCTCCAGAACATCTACAGTAACCCTTGCTAGCTCTCCAGAACATCTACAATAACCCTTGCTAGCTCTCCAGAACATCTACAATAACCCTTGCTAGCACTCCAGAACATCTACAATAACCCTTGCTAGCTCTCCAGAACATCTACAATAACCCTTGCTAGCTCTCCAGAACATCTACAATAACCCTTGCTAGCACTCCAGAACATCTACAATAACCCTTGCTAGCTCTCCAGAACATCTACAATAACCCTTGCTAGCTCTCCAGAACATCTACAATAACCCTTGCTAGCACTCCAGAACATCTACAATAACCCTTGCTAGCACTCCAGAACATCTACAATAACCCTTGCTAGCTCTCCAGAACATCTACAATAACCCTTGCTAGCTCTCCAAAACATCTACAATAACCCTTGCTAGCTCTCCAGAACATCTACAATAACCCTTGCTAGCTCTCCAGAACATCTACAATAACCCTTGCTAGCTCTCCAGAACATCTACAAAATATCTTGATATGTCCTCAGAGCATTTCCAAAACCCCTTCCTAGGTCCCAAGCGCACTCTAAGACTCTTTTCCTAGGTCCCAAGCGCACTCTAAGACTCTTTTCCTAGGTCCCAAGCGCACTCTAAGACTCCTTGTCAAGGCCCTCAGAGGCTCCAGAGGCACTCAGCCCTCGGGTACATGAAGCAGAAAGTCTAAGGAGTCTCGCTGATCCATTACAGCCTCGAACGCTGACCCTAAGTCTCACAATATCAGATTTAACAGGAAATTTAGGAAAATAGGTGCGGGCCAGCCATGGAGGAAAATGTATTGGAGACATAATGGAATTTGTGCTTGCCTGTGTGTGTGTTTGTGTGTGTTTGTGTGTGTGTGTGTGTGTGTGTGTGTGTGTGTGTGTGTGTGTGTGTGTGTGTGTGTGTGTGTGTGTGTGTGTGTGTACTTATCTAGTTGTGCTTGCGGGGGGCTGAGCTTCGGCTCTTTGGTCCCGCCTCTCAACTGGCAATCAACTGGTGTACTGGTTCCTGAGCCTATTGGGTTCTATCATATCTGCATTTGAAACTGTGTATGGAGTCAGCCTCCACCACATCACTGCCTAATGCATTCTGTTTTTTAACTACCCTGGCACTGAATATGTTCTTTCTAACGTCCCTGTGGCTCATTTGGGTACTCAATTTCCACCTGTGTCCCCGTATTGAGATTATGCACTTATGCGGTTGGGTGTTCCCCAAAGCACACGCCCTATAGCCAACTAAGCCACGACATAGTCAAGTTAACCAGTTGACTAGGGTGTGTGTGTGTGTGTGTGTGTGTGCAAGCACCCTACACACAGGTTCGAATCCCGGTTGCTACGGATCTTCTCACTGACTCATCTCGTTCGTGTGATTTCTCTGTGTATTCTCCATAATATTAATATCGTCAGGAAATATGGCAACTCTTTCTCAGTGCGTGATTGGCTGGTGTTTTGTTGACATTAGAAATACTGGCCTGTGATTCGCTGGTGGTTTGTTGACATTATAAATATACTAGTCTGTGATTGGCTGGTGTCTTGTTGACATTAGAAATATACTAGTCTGTGATTGGCTGGTGTCTTGTTGACATTAGAAATACTGGCCTGTAATTGGCTGGTGTTTTGTTGACATTATAATTACTAGTCTGTGATTGGCTAGTGTCTTGTTGACATTAGAAATACTGGTCTGTGATTGGCTGGTGTGTTGTTGACATTAGAAATACTGGTCTGTGATTGGCTGGTGTGTTGTTGACATTAGAAATATACTAGTCTGTGACTGGCTGGTGTCTTGTTGACATTAGAAATATACTGGTCTGTGATTGGCTAGTGTCTTGTTGACATTAGAAATACTGGCCTGTGATTGGCTGGTGTGTTGTTGACATTAGAAATATACTAGTCTGTGACTGGTTGGTGTCTTGTTGACATTAGAAATACACTGGTCTGTGATTGGCTGGTGTCTTGTTGACATTAGAAATATACTGGTCTGTGATTGGCTGGTGTCTTGTTGACATTAGAAATATACGTTTATGATTAGCTGGAGCCACGCTGAAACCACACCACATAACAACTGAGTGATTAGAATATACAACATGTGAGTCTGTGACTAATCCAAAGAAACACCTGAAACAGCTGATCTTTGTTTACCTTCCCAGGTGACGAGGAAACAGCAGCTATGCAGCACCTGAGCGGAGCACCCAGCCCCATCCAGAGGGGCGGAGCCAGCAGCTTATTGGTCGTCTCAGCCGTGACGTCATGGACCTGGCACAAGATGACGTCATGAGGTTGCTAGTTATCATCCACCTAAAATATCCACCTAAAAAATATAGAAATTTGGATAAAAAAAATGTATTTTGATATCTTGGTGTGTGTGGGTGTTAGCTTTGATATAGGCTTTAAGGGTTATATGTATCGCTAATGTATGTATATATGTATTAGTGCACCAAGAGATATTAGCATGGAATTGCTAGTTGGCATCTCACTGTATCTATCACCTGTCAAAGCAAAGACAACAAAAACAGCTCTGACAACTACAACACAAACAATAACAGCAGAAACAACGACAACAACGACAGCGTCATTAGTATTAGCTCAGTGCCCAAACTGCTCATGTTTACTGAAAATTGTAGACTACTCAGCTATTGCTCCAGACTGATCCCTTCAAGTAACTCTCGAATGGAAGACTGACCCTCCAAGTAAGTCCTTAAGACTGACCCTCCAAGCAACTCCTTAAGACTGACCCTCCAAGCAACTCCTTAAGACTGACCCTCCAAGCAACTTCTTAAGACTGACCCTCCAAGCAACTCCTTAAGACTGACCCTCCAAGCAACTCCTTAAGACTGAGCCTCCAAAGACTGCAAAGACTATCATTGTAAGCCTCGTAAAGGCTTCACCAACACACACCTGACTATTTCATCAGGACACCAGACTTTCTCACTCAAGTCTTAATATGCCTCCTGGCCAAGCCATAAGTCAAATACTGACTTATATAGACATTAATGTCAATGAATTAAAACCAAGAGACAGCATGAATTCCTCTCATACATGACAGTATGAATACAGACAGAATGAATATTTCATACACACAGTATGAGTTTTTGATTCTGTATAAGAACTAAATATGTTTTTCTCCATCATTGTGTCAGATAATTTAAGTCAACAGTGTTTTGTACTTGTAATACAGTGTCGTGTCTGACACACGACAATATGGGACTGGTTTCTATGTGATCTTAGTTCTGGGACTGGTTTCATGTGATCTTAGCTCAATATGGGACTGGTTTCTATGTGATCTTAGTTCTGGGACTGGTTTCCATGTGATCTTAGCTCAATATGGGACTGGTTTCTATGTGATCTTAGTTCTGGGACTGGTTTCATGTGATCTTAGCTCAATATGGGACTGGTTCCATGTGATCTTAGCTCAGGGACTGGTTTCATGTGATCTTAGCTCAATATGGGACTGGTTTCATATGATCTTAGATCAATATGAGACTGGTTCCATGTGATCTTAGATCAATATGAGACTGGTTCCATGTGATCTTAGCTCAATATGGGACTGGTTCCATGTGATCTATCTGTCCTAACTCACATTCTGTATGTTGCATACTGAATACTATCCACAAGGCTGGTTAATGAGCACTATCCATCATTAACCACCATATCCTTGCCAAATATAAAGGAATAAAGTGCATTTAGTTACACCATTACATAATACTAACCTAGAAAATCATCACAGATTACTTCTGATGATTTTCCTTGTTGACAAAAGGATAAATGAATGAATTTGCTTAGTGAATACTTGTCGAAATGTTATGTGGAGGTTAGAGGTCATTTATGTTATTAGAATTTAAGATTTGTATTTAATGAAGATATTAATTCTCGTAACAATTGAATGGTAATGGGCAGTTCACTGTTACAGGGAGTAATTTGTACATGGATTTTGTTTAAGGTTTTTGTCTATATTTGAATTACAAATGCTGAAATGTATGGATGTGTTTGTTTGTGGGGTATATGTGCAGAATGAGGGAGGGGAGATAGATAGACAGATAGATAGATAGATAGATAGATAGATAGATAGATAGATAGATAGATAGATAGAGAGAGAGAGTTCCTTCAGTCTGTTTTCAAACCTCATCCCTCCCATCTCTGGGACGAGTCTCGTTGCAAACTTCTGCACCTTTTCGAGCTTCCTTAAGTGTTTTTTAAGATGGGGTTCCAGGGTGGTGCGGCATACTCTAAGACTGGCCTCACATATACGGTATACAGTGAACAAAATACCTCATCTATCTCCGGGAGCTTTTTAGGCTCATTAGTAAGCACTCCATGGAAGCTGGCGTTAATCTCCTCACAAATCTCTTTATCATTTTCTGTATACCGACCTTCCCGTTCTCTTAACATGGTCACTTGGTTATTCACTCTCATTTTCCTTCTTATATGGTTATGTAAGAGTTTGGGTTGGCTCTTTGCTTAGAGACGATATCATTTTCATAACACACAGATATCACAATGCATCAAATGCATTCAAATGAACAAATCGAATCCTCGTCACGGCCCTTGTGGATTTGTTTATCATCTTCAAAAAAGTCCCTTCGCATCAAAAAAGTCCCTTTGCATCAAAAAGTCCCTTTGCATCAAAAAAGTCCCTTGCATCAAAAAAGTCCCTTTGCATCAAAAAAGTCCCTTTACATAAAAAAGGTCCCTTTGCATCAAAAAAGTCCCTTGCATCAAAAAAGTCCCTTGCATCAAAAAAGTCCCTTTGCATAAAAAAGACCTTGCATCAAAAAGTCCCTTTGCATCAAAAAAGTCCCTTGCATCAAAAAAGTCCCTTGCATCAAAAAAGTCCTTTTGCATCAAAAAAGTCCCTTGCATCAAAAAAGTCCTTTTGCATCAAAATAGTCCCTTCCCTCCAAAAAAGTCCCTCTGCATAAAAAAGTCCCTTTGCATCAAAAACTATACTATACTAAAACTAAAACTATACTCCTCGTATAGTTGCAAGTCCCTTTACATAAAAAGGTCCCTTTGCATCAAAAAAGACCCTTTGCATAAAAAAGGTCCCTTTGCATTAACAAATTCCCTTTGCATCAAAAAGACCCTTTGCATCAAAAAATTCTCTTCCCTTCAAAAAAGTCCCTTTGCATCAAAAAAAGTCCCTTACCATAAAAAATTACCCTGATCTTTTAAAACGTAATAATCACATATCCTGCAACCTTCTTGCTATGGTTCTTCTCTTCCTCCGCTCCTTCCTCTTGTCTCTTCCTCTTCCTGTTCCTGTTCCTCTTCCACTTAAGACCATATCCTGAATGTCGTCTCAAGGTTGGACCGTAAAATTAAACAATTCACCGAATCGGGATTTTTCTAACTCGCCGCAGAGCAAGTTAGAAGGAATTCTAATTCTCGGGATGTAATGGAGTCTAGGAATGGTTAATGTATTACAAACTGGCTTTTGTTTACTTCAGACAAGGTTTACTGTGTCTTATAGTTGGTTTACAACATGGTTTATTGATCCCTTGGTTTGTTATCTGAGAGAGAGAGAGAGAGAGAGAGAGAGAGAGAGAGAGAGAGAGAGAGAGAGAGAGAGAGAGAGAGAGAGAGAGAGAGAGAGAGAGAGAGAGAGAGAGAGAGTACTATTTTAACAGTATGTATTATCACATGTGTACTCACCTAGTAAATATGTATATGTATGAGTATATGAATGGGGAAACTAGCAAAATACTAATAACTTACCCAGAGCGCTGAATTTACATTTTATGAATACCATACATACAACAATTTTTTGTGGCATTTAGAAATCAGATAAGTTCGTGAATACAACTTCATACACCATCATGTATAGCTGTATTCCTTTCATGGATAGTTGTATTATCATTAAAATGTATTTTTGGTTCAAACTTCAACTGTTGAAATCTTTAGGAAGAATTGTTATACAAAGTTCCAAAGACTTTTCAACATGCAGACATCATTAACGTGGCTGAAGTATGTTGACCAGACCACACACTAGAAGGTGAAGGGACGACGACGTTTCGGTCCGTCCTGGACCATTCTCAAGTCGATGGTCCCTTCACTTTCTAGTGTGTGGTCTGGTCAACATCATCCACACCTTAACAGCTTCGCGTGTCGTTGACAAGACTTTATTGCAACTTTGCATATGGCTACAAGAATTTAATGAAGTCTTATGTATGATAGTAAGGACGAAGTCCTTACTACCACACATAGCTACTAGAATTTTACTGAATACAGCCTTACGAAAGGTTTTTAGGACTTTACTGATGACTTAAGAATGGTTTCTAGGACTTTACTGATGACTTAAGAATGGTTTCTAAGACTTTACTGATGACTTAAGAATGGTTTCTAAGACTTTACTGATCACTTAAGAATGGTTTCTAAGACTTTACTAATGACTTAAGAATGATTTCTAAGACTTTACTGATGCCTAACGAAAGGTTTCTAAGACTTTACTGATGACTTAAGAATGGTTTCTAAAAATTTACTGATGACTTAAGAATGATTTCTAAGACTTTACTAATGACTTAAGAATGATTTCTAAAACTTTACTGATGACTTAAGAATGGTTTCTAAAACTTTACTGATGACTTAAGAATGGTTGCAAGGACTTTACTGAAGCCTTACGAATGGTTGCAAAAACTTGAATGCAACTCCTCGTATAGTTGCAAGGATTTCAATGTTCTTTAGGAAAATAAATATAACATATTCAACAGGTAATTCTATATATATACAGTGTAAATGTAATTTATTTTTATGTAACTTAAGATTAATAAAAACATTATTAGGTTGTTGTGCTGAATTGTTATGCTAATAAAGTGAGAAAAAGTTTCTTGTGTTTTAATTTGAATAACCCGCAGCTGTGGAGATGTGTTTTATTAACAGTAATGTGTGTTTTACTCGGTGTTTTTACTGTTTAGAAACGAGCTGTTAGCTCTTGGGCTCTGGCATTGTGGCACAGCTGTAGCCAAGCAGTTAACAGCCTTCAGGTGCCTTCAATGACCTCATTCGTCATCTGTCTCAGGTCAAAGGGCACATCAAAGTTTAGGCTAGGTAAGGGGGAAAGATAATATCCATTTTCTATGGATATTATTTATACTTCGTAGCTATAAACAGTTAGTAAATATATCTTGTTATCCAAGGACTTCCCCTCAAAGAAAACATTGTAAACATAGTGTTTTCTCTGCCTTTATGGTATATTTACAGCTCAAGTGACAAATCCCAGAGACTGTATGGAAAGGAAGTCTTTGACAACAGAAGATAAACATAAGAATTTACCTGTTTGAAGATACAGGTATAAACCAGTTGAGTGAATTGGCCATTAGTGACTGTGGTTTACTTGTTTAAGCTTATGCATTTAAATTAAAATACATATTTGGCTTTGATGCTATTGCAAGATGTTCTTTCTTGATGTCTTATTAAGAGAGAGAGAGAGAGAGAGAGAGAGAGAGAGAGAGAGAAAGAGTGTGAGAGAGAGAGAGAGAGAGAGAGAGAGAGAGAGAGAGAGAGAGAGAGAGAGAGAGAGAAAGAAAGAAAGAGAGAGAGAGATAGAGAGAGAATAAAGATAATGAAATACGTGAAAAGAATAAAAAAAATAGCTGACCCGCTCAGCCCTGGACGTTGATTGGAGCACGTTTCTCTGTGGTCTTGAGAAATCTACTGCTATTGGTCACCTTGTCGACCAACGAGCATAAAGAGGCAAGTGTGTGTGTGACCTAAGATTGTAACTCTGGCCCCTATTGGCTGACCTCGAAGACAGTCACTCTTCTCCTTTACGACAAAACTGTCCATAAACCTCAAACAATTCAATTTAACCTTCATCTTGTTTACAAACAACTTTTGTT